CCACCCTCGACTCCTCGGTATTTGATCTTTAGGGGCATTTCCTCTTTGGCGGGGCCCCACCGGTACGCTTCTCTCTGTCCCGCCCTGACACTACACGTTTCTCGGATGCTCATTTTAAATACGGCACGGTGAGCGGTTAGAGCATCCTGATTGCGACTGAAACGCGGTTATGACGCCATTTATGACTAGGCCCTGTGGGGGAGGCATATACTCGCCGTTTCGAATTTAGCCCAAGGGTACCTTAACCCATTGGCGACCACGTCTTTTAAGCGTGTCCGGCGCGTAAAAAGGAGCGCGCTTCTCGCGCGCTGTTGGTGTTGTCCCAGAAGCAACCTAATTTCCAGATCGCAGTCCCAGAAGCAATCTAATTTTCTTCGCAACCATTCCTTGAGATAACGCTCCATTTAAATGTTACAGAAGAAGTGGTAGATCACCCACGAATCTCACGTGCTACGCTATAACATCCACTGTTACTCTGTTGTTTTATAGTAGTGGGAAGCTGCTCTCAACTCAACTCTGAACATTCGTAGCGTACGGGAACCAGGCCCAACAATGTATCATAAAATTATCATAAACATATAGTATCAGGTATCAATATAAAGTAGGATATATAATTCGCTAAGTGTGTCTGTTGGTGTGTCGGTGTGTATGTGTGTCGGTGTGTGTGTTTGACCGGAAATTCATAACTCCTGTTCCCGTGGACCCAGAGCGTTCAAAATTGGTAGGAGTACGGGGGGCAGGAAGGGAATACTTACGACAGGTGGCAGGACCGGACTATGCCCACAGGGGGCGGGGCGTGCGCGATAGAAATTTCAGGTCGCAAATTCATAATTCCTGCTCCACTGGACCTAAAGCGTTCAAAATTGGTGGGAGTACAGGGGGCGGCATGGAAACACTTACGGCAGGTGGCAAGTTCGAACTCCGCCCGCAGTGGGCGGGGCGTGCCCGTTAGTTTGTTTCAGGTTGCAAACTCACAACTCATAATAATAACATAATAACAAGCGAGCAAGCGTTGCAATCCCCTTCGTGTCAACACTGAAACCTCTTCAATGGCGGCAATGTAGGATGTGTCGTGGTCGTAGGTACTCTGTGACAGGAACTGATAACAACTGATAAGAACTGATAAGGGGGATTAGAGAGGAAAAGGGTATTCACGATCAAATTCTGCTTCTTTAAAATGTTTCATTCAATAGGACGGGTAAATGCAGTAACAGCGGCCGATCAAAGACACTTCACCATAACGAAGTGAGAAAATTGTTCATTTCTTACTGTTAAACTACGACCTTTACGCAGTAAGCTTTATGACACAATGAAGTACCA